GTTAGAAATAGATCTTAATCAAAATAAAAGACTTTCATACCTGTTAAATTCTTTATGTTCTGCGGTTGAAAATAGAAGTGAAGTTTCAGTACCACAATATGCCATTGTGGATGTCAATCAATTTTCTCAACTTTTGGAAGATGCAAGTTTTGCATGAAACAAACTTTATCAATTACGTTTGCAGAAAAACTTGGCATGTCAGTGAAAATGAATCTTGTTTGTTCTTCATGTTCAGCAAACAAAAAAGTATCCACATCTAAGACAATTGTGCAGCAGGAGGAGAAAACAATTGACAATAACCGAAGAGTAGTGCAAAGCTTTTTAAGCATTGGTAAAGGTTATGCAGCTCTTCGACAATTTTGTTTGCTAATGAACTTAGATTTAATGTCTAGTAGGACTTTCAATAATCATAAAAATAAATTGTATTTTACTAGTCGTCGGCTTTTTAAAGATCATATACATGACATCAGCTCAAAGGTGAAAGATGCACATGATTTTGAAAACTCCGGAGCAATTCTAGATGTTGGTGTTTCTTTTGATGGAACTTGGCTTACCCGAGAACATTCCTCTCAAATTGGCATAGGCTGTGTGATCGATATCCTTACAGGCTTTGTCATAGACTGCGAAATTATGTCTAAAAGATGTATTGAATGTGAGAAAGCCAGCAGCGAATCGGGGAAGAAATCGCCTGAATTTGACATATGGTACAGTGGCCACCAAAACTCGTGTAACATCAATCATCTGGGCTCTTCAGGAGCTATGGAGCAAGAAGCAGCTCTGTTATTGTGGAAAAGATCTGAGCATCTAGGTTTTAGGTATGTGACAATATTGTCAGATGGTGACGCAAGAACATTTACTTACCAAAATTCCAAAAAACATTTATGGTGATACAGAGATTAAGAAAGAGGAATGCATTAAACATGTCAGCAAAAGGTTAGAAACCGGTTTACGAAATGCTGTGAAAGAGTGGCGTGGGAAAGGTGTGACTTTGGGGGGGGGGAATCTCATGGTAGTTTGAAAGAAACTACTATAAAGAAATTAACTCGTAACTATCAGTATGCCATTCGACAAAATAAAGGCGATGTTAATGCAATGAAAACTGCTATCTATGCAACATTGTACCATAGTATATCAACTGATATTAAACCCCAGCATTTTAAATGTCCACCTGGTGAAAACTCACGGTGTTTTTATCAATCAGCTATCTCGAGAAATGACACACCAGGTTCTCACAAAATGCATGTTAACACACCAATAAACGAAGGACATTTATCGAAAGTCCTTCCTATCTATCAACGGCTAGCATCAAATGAAATATTGGAACGTTGTGTCAGATGTGCAACCCAGAATGCAAATGAAAGTTTGCATAGTGTGATCTGGAACAAGTGTTCAAAGCAGACTTCTGCGTCTTTACGACGAGCAAATTTAGCTAGTATGTGCGACGCAGTTATGGAGTTCAACTTGGGAACATACCAGCATCTGAAACTCTTAGAAAAAGCTACGACTATATACATGAGTAAAAATTCTGCCACAACAGTCTTGTTTATTGACAAAAGAAGGGTATATTTTAGAAAACGTAGGAATAATGCTGTTGCTACTGCAAGACAGAAAATTAGACTTGCGATAAAACGCCGCAATGCCAATAAAATAAAAAAAGGCATAACTTACCTGGGGAATTTTAAACGAGAAAAATAAGTGTTCTATGTTTCTCTGGTGTTTTTATGTGGTTCATTTATGACTGTGATAAGTAAAAAGACCTTCTTGTAAATAAACAAAGTTTCTCGTGTTTAGCTTATGTGTTCTGCAATTTAAAAAAAAGTGTATATTTAAAAATATTATTAATTTTTTGAAGCGTTTTTATGCTTTTTACATACATAACTGTATAAATTTGTTTTTTATAATGCATAAGACATATTTTGGTTTGTTATTATTACTTTTTCAACAAAACCAAACTTTAAAGTGCTTTTTCTCATAGATGATAATTTTGTGTTTACATCTTATTTTGAATCCCTAAGAAGCAAAGCATGTTTATAAGATGTCTTTATGAAAACTATTGTATATAAAAATTATGAATTATTTTCGATTATATCTAATAAGTATTCCCTTTAATCTCTAGATGATGAGCAATATATATTGAGAGACTGGTGTGACACAATCGCTTATTAGATGTAATCCATCTGTAATCAGCTACATAAAAAGAGAGATGTATGTAAATAGGAATGGAAAAGAGAGATGTATGTAGGAAATAAGAAAAGAGAGATGTATATATATATCCTAGCTGGATTCATCATTCAGCATGCATCGTTTCAGATCTCAAACAGCATGCATCGTTTCACTAATGTGGAGCTTGCCGACATGCATTTCGTGTAAGGGGCTGCGCAAGGAAACGGATTAGCTGCTCAGAGGATGTATAGGGAGCGATTCCCGGATAGAAATCAGCCGGATCGTCGAACATTCGAGCGTCTTCATCGGGAGTTACGGCGAAGTGTATCGCTTTATGCTTCAAGGCGTGGAGCTGGCATTGGAAGATATCGCAGAACTCCTGCAGTGGAAACCAGAAAACTAAACACAGTAGAGAATAATCCTTCGACAAGCTGGAGAGTCGTAGGACGTGCGTTGGGTGTGAGCCATCAAAGTGTTTTGAGGACTTTACATGTAAACGGAATGCATCCGTATCATTTACAGAGAGAGATCATTTACAATGACCCCTCAGGTGCAATCCTAACCCACCCACGTTGCGACCTTGAGCGGCATCCTTTCATCTCAACCACCCAAGCAGTCACGCACCTCTAACTAACCTTCAAAGACCACCCAGCTTCTGACCTTGTTCCCCCCCCTCTTTTGATCTAGCCGCCTCGCAGGCCACCTGCACGCTGACCCCGACCTTCAGCTTCCCGCCCTTTCTAACAACAATACAACCCCTCTGACTTCCCCCAACTAACACCTGCGTCATTATCTTTTTCCCGCCATCAACAAAACATAAACAAACTGAGTGTTTACTAACATTGGCTTCAATAAATAAGTAAATACTAGCTATTAATGTAATTTTCAATACATGCTTTAACCAGCCCACTAAGCTTAATTCTTTTTCACTTCGGCACTCACACTACTATTTAAATCAGTGTTTTAAACTTTAAACTAACCTGCCAAACCTAACCTAAAGTTTATTTTTCCCTAACCTTATCTATAATTACTTAATTAATTCTATTATTATACCAACAGTCTCTAATAACTATGTAACGGCTTAATCACTATTAAAGCTTAACTCTACTCAACTATTTAATTATTTAACTGATTTAAAGGATTTAACCCTTTAATACCACTGTTTATTGTATCATTGTACTATTTATTATTTGTTTTACTGTGCTAACTGATAACTAGTGTTACATGCAATTTGGTACTATTGTTATTTTAATGTTCTGCCTTGAGCCCCATGCTATTCTGTTATGGCTAACAATCATAAATTCGGCCAAAGTGCCACCCTTCATAATCAACTAGCCCCTTTAACCAATTTTCGGAATACGGATGTTTACGATCCGGATGAGGTCCCAACTGCTAAAGGTAACTCAACCCCCCCAGTTTCGCATAGGACTAGGGCCAATGCGTCACTGATCGGCCTAGAGATTGACCTAACCGGTCGTGTGAAACAAGAGTTTTCACTTTTATTGGATTGCCTAACGGGATTAACTAATCTCACAACACCCCACCTGTCGAAGGACGCGATAGGGTAAGCAAACGTGCATGGTGTTAAACATCAGGGATAAGATCAGAGATTTAGAAAACCTATATCAGACCTTGGCCCCAAAACCAACCCAACCAAAACAAATCCAACCCAAACCAAAAAGAACTAAGACAACTGGCACTCAGACAGAGGGACCGGCAAGAATAGTCGATGTCGAAGGACTGATTAGTGTTACCACAACTCTGTATGAGCAGATCCAAGCGAATAACGCTAAAATTGACGATCTATTGAGTCAATCTAAACAACCTGATACAACACCAAGGACGTACGCCCAAGCCGCCGCTCCAACGCAGGACCAACCCCCCACTCCAAGACTCCCCACTATTATTAATCTACCCATCCCACCAAACGCTAATAAGCAAGATATCATTCACAAAGTTACCTCACTGCAGACTAGAGCCTCAGTAAGGAAAGTTAACATTCAACCAAAACAAATAACCATCAACTGTGACACCGATTCTGATAAACAAACCCTAATCAACGATCTCAATAACAACGACTTTAAAGTCGTAATTCCAAAACAACGCAGGCAAAATATAATCATAACTAACGTACCAACATACATCACAAAGGACTGTCTGTTCGATAGGCTGCACGCTCAACTGGGCACCAATCAAACAGACTTTCCTATCCGTTTGTATAGGGTCAACAAACATAGGAGCAACCAGTTGCTGCAGCATTGGGTGATCTCCCTTACCAAAGTCTCTGCCAATATTCTTTGCCGGCAGCAGCACATTTATTTCGGACTCAGCCGCTCTACCATCTCAAAATTTGTTAGGATAAACAGGTGCAATAAATACCAAAACCTTAACCACAAGGAATCTGATTGTGATTCCGGCCCCATCTGCATGCACTGCGCAGGCAAACATCACTCCAATAACTGCATCAACAGAGACTCCTGTGTTTGCTACAACTGTTATTACATGAACGAGTACCACAAGCAAGACTCGGAGTGGTACCCACTAGACATATACCATAAGGCTAACGACAGATACTGTCCAACATACCACCAAGTTAAATACGGCTATTGGCCATAATCTTAATTCTAACTTTAACTAACTACCAAAGTTCTACCCATTTAAATTTATAGTTAATTTTCAATCAAATCTAATTAAGTTTTCTTCATCCTTATTCCAAATTAATCCCATATCAATACAACTCCTGGTCGGGCTTGTGACCACTCAACCAATTAACAACCCTTATCTTTCAGCCAATTAATATCTGTCTGCAACAAGGTGAGTAACAAACAATAGCAAACATGACTAACCAATTACCAAACCAAATTAAATGCCTCCAAATAAACTTAAACAACTGCAGAGCGGCAACAGCCCTCTCAGCCAGATACGCCCAAGACAATAACGTAGATCTAATTTTAATACAAGATCCTTACCTAACCAATAACAAACTATATGGTTACCCAAACCAGTGGACCACACATCACTCCAATAATAAAGAGGCCTGGTTGGTCATAACTAAAACAACAACGATAAATCTAATACCAGCGACTGAATCAGCCGCCTTTGCAAACTTAACAACCTCATTAGGCAACATTATTATCGGCTCGCAGTACGTCAGGCCACACGCAAATCTCTCAACAGCACTAGATGAGTGGAGTGGTCTAATATCGGACAAACCACTCATACTAGGTGCAGATCTAAACGCCAGGTCAACTCAATGGGGCTACACAACAACAGACAATAGAGGAGATCTTCTAATAGACTTCAATATTGCCCATGACCTGATTAGACTTAACGTACAAACACCACTAACTACTTTTTATACACCACACGCGAAGGGAAATCCAGACTTCACCTTAGGAAATCGTGACGGCTCCATATTAGTCAATGACTGGACCGTCAACGATACACATACTGCGAGCGATCCTAGATATATAACGTTTAACCTTAGCCAATCCTTAATAGTCCCAACTACAAATCGTCTAAAAACTAATTTTGGCAATCGTCCTAAGTTTATCAAAATGATACAGCGCGAGGCCTCAGGCCTAATAGACAACTGTAATAAAATAGCAACAACAGCAGTGTTCACACCAGGGCTCTAATTAAAACAGTAACCGCAATACGACTAAAATATACAGATACAGAAAGATTAAACCCTCAACATCGCCCACATGGTGGACAAACAAACTTAAATACGAAAGAAATAGGTTAAATGCACTAAATAAAAGATTACAAACAAGCAAAGATCCAATAGAAACGAAACTCAATAAAGAAGAATACAATAAAGCAAAAGCTAAATACCGCAAACAAATAACTAAAGCAAAAGAAACCTCCTGGAAACAATTCTGCAATAATCATTCTGACCCCTATGGCGCAGCTTATAAACTGGGCCACGGTAAACTATTCAAACCAACAGACCTTAACCTAAAATTACCTAACAATAATATTCCAAACAAACAAGAAGCCCTGGTGTATCTATCCAAATTTCACTTCCCAGACAAAGACGATACCATCGCGGACCAACCACCTCTACACACACAACACACAAACACTGAACCACACGCAGACACAAAGGAGGTGAGAGATGCTCTCTTTGCCTTCCTTACAACTAAAGCACCAGGTCCAGACGGGCTAGACTTTATGATTTGGAGGCACGTCTTCGAGGCCGACCCGAACATTTTGACAAACTGGGTTAATAAATGCTTAACACTAAATCATTTCCCAAACAACTTAAAATCAGCCACCGTCGTGTACTTCGCCAAACCTGGCAAGGACACGACACAACCGGATACATATCGACCGATCTGCCTTCTACCAACATTAGGCAAACTACTAGAGAAAATAATAAACCAACGACTAATACACTTCCTAGAAATTAACAATAAGCTCAGTGATAAACAATTCGGCTTCCGAGAAGGCAGATCAACAGAATCAGCACTTAAAGTAGTAATAAACGAAGCAAAAACAGCAAAAAAGAACAAAAACTGTAAAAATACTAATTATAAAATGCTAATATCAGTTGACATTAATGGCGCCTTCGACTCAATACATTGGGACCAAATCATAACAAGACTAAATGATCTCAACTGCCCTAAGCAGTGAGTAAACTTAATCAACAGTTATCTAACAAACAGATCAATTCAATTTGACGGCGGTCTAGGACAAACTAAACTTAACACCTACAAGGGCTGCCCACAGGGGTCATGCCTAGGCCCACTCCTGTGGTTAATTATCGCGGACATTTTCCTGCAAGATTTTAATCAAAACAACGTAAAGACAATAGCTTTCGTAGATGACTACGGTTTCATCATATCAGGCAATAAACGTAATGAATTAGAAACTAACGCTAATATGGCCATGAACACCTTTAATGATTTCTGTACTAAATTTCACCTGAACCTTTCAATAAACAAATGCAATTTTATGACTTTTAAAAACCCATTTAAACAAAGACCACCAATAGTTAAGATTAATAACCAATCCATTAAATCAGTAACATCAATTAAAAACTATGGGGTCGTCCTAGATCAACATTTTAACTTTCTTGAACATATTAAATCACTTAGGGCAAAAGCCACAAACATTCACAACCAACTAATCAAACTAGCCCCGAGGACCTGGGGAATCCAAACCAACATTAAACAGTGTACAAAGACCACTATTAATCAGACTAGCAAGGAGTTTTAAGACAACTTCAAGAGTAGCACTCAACGTACGTATTAACAGGCATTCCGCCACTCCACCTGCAAATACTAAAAGAATCAATTTTTTATTTTATAACCGTCGTTGAACAGCCGACCCAATTTCATGGGTTTACGACTACTTGCGTTCAACTCCGTAGCCTTGTAATTTTGAACCAATCCAGAGGACAAGGAAACTCCTGGATCAGTACCCCCAGAGGTATTGATTTGTTGTGGGAACATGGAGGACTTTGAGACTCGACAGATTTAACGTGCATCAGTCACCATTTACTACACGGGGAGTCTTCGGCCGGCGAGGATCGTACCCACGATCTCTTGGATATGGGCCCAGTGCCCTACCGACCAGGCTATCCCGGCCCTAAAAGAATCAATTATAGCAAACGCTCTAAGATCCGCTAGTCTAAATGTTATTTCCAGATGATACTGACGCAGGGGTAAGCCAACTATTCAAATGTTAATTAATGTAATAATTTAGTCTTTATTTAGTTTTAATCGCATAATAAGCTAAGAATTTATAATAAGTAATAGCCCAAGCTAAGTAACAATTTAACTCCATAATATTAATAACTTAATAACCTTAACTTTCTTTTTAATAGTAATAATTTGTATAACATAATCAAGTGCTATTAATCCAATTATTTGAATAAGTATCCTTAGTGCAATAGTAACTTAATTTGTTATTGTAATCTGTAATAAGTTGTAATTTGTAACTTAACTTGTAATAACTTGTAATTTGTAATGATTTGTAATTTGTAATAATTGGTAATTTGTAACTTTATTAATAATTAAACTTAATTAAAATAGCACTTTTAAATTTAAAAATTGTTTTTATATGTAATAACCCCCTTCCCTTGCAGGAGCCTGGACAGACGGGCTTTATTGGGTCTGTAGGGTTGTAGGATTGGGCATTAGGTGCGCGGGACCGTACACGACGCTTTCTGGGTGACGGCTGTGTGCTTTCCGCGTCCGATGGGCCTCGGTCCTGACGACCTCCGGAGTGTGGGGGAGATGGTTTTACGCGGGGACCGCGAAAAGCTGTAAACCCGCTTCGCGGGTCGGCTGGTCACCTGCGGTGAATAAACGCTCTAAGATTCAACACATCAAACGATCAATACAAAAAATCAATACAATACGATCAATATAAATTATGTTATTACTATTAATGCAATAGATTATCAACAAAAAATTAAAAGTAACTGCACACACCCAGCAGAAAAAATAAGCTATAAATATATCTCATTACCACCAAGCACACCAACTGATACTATAACAAATATCTATACCGATGGCTCAAAAACAGAACAAGGAGTAGGTGCAGCATTCTGTGTTTACAGCAACAATCACTTAACGGACACGTTTAAATTCACACTAAAACAAGACAATACTGTCTTCCAAGCAGAGATCTTAGCTATTAAAGAAGCCCTTAACTGGTTAGAAACACAAAATTGCCGAGAGGCAACAATACACACAGTCTGGCTGACATGTACGCGTTTATCAAAACAAAAGAAAAGGACCCACACGTAGCAGAAACACAAAAACAGTTAGTACACCTAGCCAGCAAATGTAACATTAAAATACACTNGACATGTATGCATACGAACCATGAAACATATTTTGGATGATGATCTGAAATAAGTCTGGATCAATGGCGACATCTGATATTTCTGCTGATAAGAGCAGACCAATTTGGCATGGTGTGATTTTTTCAATAAGCCAAATCAGAATGTGTGCATGTGACAATCCTCTTTTTTGCCATTCCAACACCGTGTCTCTCCAAAAACATGACGCTTCACAATGAAATCATGTAAAGATTTTAATTTTTGTTTGAACACACGTGCGGTAATATTATAACGATCCGATGATGATTGTCCTGGTAACAAAAACTCTTTAATTTCAACACAAGAAAGATTGCATGCAAATGTAATAAATAAATCCGGGCCCCCATATGCGCGAATATATGTCATTGCATCCTGTGAGTATTCATACATGTGCCTTGGACTCCCAGTAAATGTAGCCTGCAGTATAATCATTTACCCCACATCATTAGGATTAACGTTACCATCATTAATTAATGCATCCCTTAAATGAATGTATTCTTCTGAGCGTCTGAATAGGATTTTCATTCTTGCTTCCCGTTGCTCTGATGTTTCCAACGAACGGGCTTGAGTTGTGCGTAGTTGATTCGTTAACAGTCTTCTTTCCTGCTGCTCAGACGCCTCTAAGGAGCGGGCTAAAGCATTGAGTTCTCGATTAGTTTCAAGTCTTTTTTCCCTCCCCATACCCTGGTTTATGACTACCAACCTAAGTTAATTGCAATAATTCACATACCAAAGACAATAGTAATAATAGGCTAAACACCGACCAAAGCGATGGGAACTGGAAAACAGGTAATAAAGATACTTTTCTCATTATTTAGTGAACACCTCCGAATACTTCACGAATGAGTTGGAAGGAATAACCGACAGGACCTTCCTGGAGGAGGTGGGCCAGTTTTCAAATAGGGAGGGAAGAGGGTGCGTTGGATAAAAGGTAGCACACCGGAGGACAGTCAGTTGCCCCAGGACACATAGGACACCCCTCCAAAGTGCTATCAACCTTTCTACACACAACTCAGAACAACCTCACTTTTCAATTTTTTCGTGTCGTAATCACCAAATCTCCGAGTGACAAGAGTTGGGTGAAACATTATAACAATGCCACCCTGGAGGTGAAATGGACCACTTTCTATGGATCCGGTCGTCGGTACTGCGGGAAGACGAAAGCAAGGCGCTGCTTTGCTTTTCCGGAGACCACTTTTCTTAACTAGAATTTTTTTTTTCTCCAGCCCCATTGCAAGCAATTAACAAAACAAAACAAGGCTGACCCAAATGTCACTCCCACAAAAATAATAACTGTGATGTGACTAGCTTAAAATTGTGTTTACTGTATATATGTCTAAATAATATCGCTAGCCTAAATGTTAACCACACACCAAACAAACACACACAATCAACCACGGACTGGCTCACAATAGCAGCCAACGTGGTTGATCAACACACACGCCTTCGCCACTGACCATACAGGCAGTGCGCCCGGAGCTCTTCAGCTACCCGTGGAGGTCATAGATGTTAAATGTGGAAAGAAAAAAAAATTGTGTTGTGACTAGCTAGTAAATATTGTAGCGTGTTTGCTGTGACAGTGTTTTTTTATTTGTAATGCCGCTAGTCTTTATGTCCTTTCCAGATGATACTGATGCAGGGGTAAGGCAAAATTCACAATAATATGTTAATTAATGTAATTAATTAGTCTAACCTAAGCAACGCAATAGTTTTAATCACATAATAAGCTAAGTAATTATTATAAGTAATAGTTTAAGCTACGTAATAGTTTTAATCTATAACATATTAATGACTTAATAAGCTTAATTTTCTTTATTTAATAGTATTAATAATTTGTAGAACATAATCAAGTGCTATTAAATCGTAATCATTTGAATAAGAATCCTTAGGGCAATAGTAACTTAATTTGTAATTAGTTTCTCAAGTGTTTTTTAATATTAATCTTAATTAAAATAGCACTTTTAAACTTAAAACTGTATTTTATATGTATTAACCCCCTTCCCTTGCAGGAGCCTAGACAGACGGGCTTTATTGGGTCTGTAGGATTGGGCATTAGGTGCGCGGGACCGTACACGACGCTTCTGGGTGACGGCTGTGTGCTTTCCGCGTCCGATGGGCCTCGGTCCTGACGACCTCCGGAGTGTGGGGGAGATGGTTTTACGCGGGGGCCGCGAAAAGCTGCAAACTCGCTTCGCGGGTCGGCTGGCCACCTGCGGTGAATAATGACCCCTGAGGATTATCTTCCACGTCTCAACTTTGCTCGTTGGTGCCACCTACAGCAGACGGCAACCAATCCAACCTTCCCAGCAGATGATATTTGGCGGTCACTGGACACTTTATCGATAATGAATTTGATTTAAAAATCGTGCTTTTGGGGGGGGGATAATGATGACTCTCATACAGCTTTGCATCTGGCTGCAAGAATAAAAGATTTAACTGACATATTTAATGTATCTAATAAAATTTTAGTTTGTGTTGCATCTAACGCAATTAACATGAAAAACGCTATGAATTGAAACTAAAACATTTCTCTTGTTTAGCTCATGCGCTGAACCTTATAGTACGTGATGCGTAAAAGCTATTTATTGATATAAATGAGAAAATTAAAACTGTAGTGACTTTTTTTTTTAAATGCAGCACTACATGCAATGAAAAGTTGCTAAACTGTCAAAAAAATAATGGTATTGATAAACCAAATAAATTGATTCAGGATGTTGTTCTACATGTTATATGTCAGAAAGATACTTACTTCTAAAAGATGTCTATTAAAACTACAATTGTTCTAATAAACAAAGATTTGCCAACCTTATCAGAAAAATTTTGATGGTTCTTCGAATAGCATAGAATTGCAGCATGTAGCGCTAATTTTTGGGGGGCGATCTCTTTCGAACTCATCATTGAGATATGTACCTATGCTCTTTGATGGGGATACAAAAACACATGATGGACTGAACAATGCTCACATCTATGATCCAGATATAATGATCAAGAAGGAAGAATGCATTAACCATGTTTCCAAAAGACTCGGCACCACTCTTTGAAACAAAGTGAAGGAGTGGAAAACGAAAGGAATAACTTCAGTTGACAGAAAAGTTCGCAACATCAAGGAGGAAACAATTGTAAGGCTGCAAAACTATTACCATAAAGCTATCAAGTCGAATGCACCGGACATAGATGAAATGAAAACTGCTATTTTTGCTAGCTTGTTTCACTGCATGTCCACAGATACAATGCCACAGCATGGCAAATGCCCAAAAGGGAAAGATTCTTGGTGTTTTTTTCAACGTGCTACTGCAAAAGGTGTTCCACCAAAACAGCACTTCATCAATGAAAACCAATCTATGCGAGGAAGTTGTGGAAAAAATTCTTCCAGCATATCAAAGACTGGCGTCAGAAGAACTTTTGTCTCCTTGCTGCAAAGGCAAGACACAAAATATAAAAGAATGACTACACAGTTGTATGTGTGCAAAATGCCCAAAAGAGAAATTTTTTTCTAAAAAGAGAATCGAGATAGCTGTTACTTCAGCTGTGTCTGAATTTAATATTGGCTGCGCAAAATCTCTACAGTTGGCATCTCCCGATTCTTTGCTTCAAGAAAGAAATCGCCAAGAGAAAGGACAAGCGTCGAACTCAATAAGTATTGCGAACCTCCACCGATTATAAGTCAGCAAATTTTGTAAAAATACACAAAAAAAAAAAAAAAAAAAAAAAAAAAAAAAAAANAAAACAGTGGAAAAAAAAAAAAAAAAAGAGTGACATATTCTGCCGGAGCATTTTAACTTTCATGCGCATTGCTTATTATAAGTTTCTTTCACAATAAATTGTATTTAAGAATCTTTATTATACCTTTATAATATAAAAGTATGTTAAAAACTTCATATAAATCCTTTGATTCTTGCATTTGTAATTAAAAAAAAAATTTTACCTGAAAATATTTTTCCTTTTTTGTGTGAATATTTTGTTAATTTAAAAAAAAAAAAATTAAAGTACATAATTATTAAACTAGTTCATTAGACAATATTTATAGGTATTTACATATTTAAAGCTAGAAATATTTGTTCAGAAGTAATATTTGCAATGAAAAAGTAGAAAAAGTCATTTTTCTCAAAATGTCTTTTTTTGACAAATTTCAAACTGCTCCAGCGAAATGAATTTTCATTCTATTGACCTGAGAATTTAACGCTACATATTTTTAACATTTTGTTGGAAAAGTTTTTTGAATTAAGTAAATAGTAAATTTTTTATACATGATATTTTACAGCGGTATGATGATTTTTTCCCAATAATGTTGGTTTTCTACTGTTATTTGATTCTATAATAAAAAATAAAAGAAATACAGTCAAACCCCGTTAACGCGAAATCGCTTATCACGAAATTTCGCTTAACGCGAAATAATTGTTAGGTCCCGTCGATCGAGTCTGAAGAATAGTGTTAATTAATTCTTTTAACGCGAAACCCAAATCGCAAAATACCGCTTAAGACGAAAAGAATTTTTTTCACTCCAAGTCAAAATTTCTTCTTTTACAAGAGTTTGGAATTAGTGTTTTGAAATTTCTACTCCTACCCTCGAATCGAGGTCCCATCCTTCCATAATTATCTCTTTTGATTGGTTGCTGCTATTCTGTTTCGGAATGTTCTTTGCACGTGCGTGGAAGGGGGTGGAAAGTAGTGCATAAGCACACATGATCGTGGTAGAGTCCGACTGTCAGTTGCCCTTGAAATTTCGTAAAAATGAGTCGAAAACAGCAATCCTTGTCCTTAGAGACTAAACAAAAAATTTTGAATGAAGTTTGTGATGGAATATTAAAGAAAACAGAGATCGCGACGAAATATGGAATTCCCAACAGCACGCTATCTACGATTATAAAAAATCGTGAAAAAATTGAAGTCGCATATGCTATCAATCAATTTGAGCCAGCTAGAAAGCGAATGAGAACAGGGGGAAATGAGGAGATCGAAGTAGCGCTTTTGCGATGGGTGCGTGAAGCAAGGAGTCAGAATCTGCCTTTAACGGGTCATGTATTGCAAGAAAAAGCAAAAGTTTTTGCGGATGCTCTCGGCGTGACAAATTTCGCATCTTCAAACGGTTGGTTAACACGATTCAAAAAGCGTCATGGAATTGTGTGTCATAAAATCTGTGGCGAAGAAGCAACTGTAGATAAGGAGACTGTGGAATCATTTTTGTCTGAAAAGTGGCCTGCTCTTAGGAAAAATTACGCGCCACGTGACATTTTCAATGCTGATGAAACGGGACTCTTTTTCAAAGCATTGCCCTCCCGTACATTGAGCATTAAAGGAGAAAAATGCTCCGGCGGAAAATGCTCTAAAGAGAGAATTACTGTTTTGGTCGCTTGTAATATGGATGGGACCGAAAAATTGCCCTTGTTTGTCGTAGGTAAATCAGCGAACCCACGTTGTTTTAAGAACTTAAAAACTTTACCCGTTGTATATGCTTCAAATAAGAAAGCCTGGATGAATAAAATGCTTTTTAAGAAATGGTTAACAGACTTGGACAGGAAACTATTTCGGGAAAAAAGAAATATTTGTTTGATGCTTGACAATTGTAGTGCTCATAATGATATTCACGGACTAAAAGCGATTAAATGTGTTTTTTTACCTCCTAACACCACAGCAAAAC